CGTTTTTTTTTTTGGGCGAAAAATTAAGTATCCCCAATCTTCTCAAAACTCTGGATTCTGATAGAGGGCACTGAGACTTACACCTGAGTGCAAAAATGGAGGCTCTAGACCCTTCCAGAGCTGAGATATCGAAACTCAAAATTTCGACCCGAAAAAAAAACGACAGTGTTACCCCTTACGTTTTTTTTTTTGGGGCGAAAAATTAAGTATCCCAATCTTCTCGAAACTCTGGATTCTGATAGAGGGCACTGAGACTTACACCTGAGTGCAAAAATGGAGGCTCTAGACCCTTCCAGAGCTGAGATATCGAAACTCAAAATTTCGACCCGAAAAAAAAACGACAGTGTTACCCCTTACGTTTTTTTTTTTTGGGCGAAAAATTAAGTATCCCCAATCTTCTCGAAACTCTGGATTCTGATAGAGGGCACTGAGACTTACACCTGAGTGCAAAAATGGAGGCTCTAGACCCTTCCAGAGCTGAGATATCGAAACTCAAAATTTCGACCCGAAAAAAAAACGACAGTGTTACCCCTTACGTTTTTTTTTTTGGGGCGAAAAATTAAGTATCCCCAATCTTCTCGAAACTCTGGATTCTGATAGAGGGCACTGAGACTTACACCTGAGTGCAAAAATGGAGGCTCTAGACCCTTCCAGAGCTGAGATATCGAAACTCAAAATTTCGACCCGAAAAAAAAACGACAGTGTTACCCCTTACGTTTTTTTTTTTGGGCGAAAAATTAAGTATCCCCAATCTTCTCGAAACTCTGGATTCTGATAGAGGGCACTGAGACTTACACCTGAGTGCAAAAATGGAGGCTCTAGACCCTTCCAGAGCTGAGATATCGAAACTCAAAATTTCGACCCGAAAAAAAAACGACAGTGTTACCCCTTACGTTTTTTTTTTTGGGCGAAAAATTAAGTATCCCAATCTTCTCGAAACTCTGGATTCTGATAGAGGGCACTGAGACTTACACCTGAGTGCAAAAATGGAGGCTCTAGACCCTTCCAGAGCTGAGATATCGAAACTCAAAATTTCGACCCGAAAAAAAAACGACAGTGTTACCCCTTACGTTTTTTTTTTTTGGGCGAAAAATTAAGTATCCCCAATCTTCTCAAAACTCTGGATTCTGATAGAGGGCACTGAGACTTACACCTGAGTGCAAAAATGGAGGCTCTAGACCCTTCCAGAGCTGAGATATCGAAACTCAAAATTTCGACCCGAAAAAAAAACGACAGTGTTACCCCTTACGTTTTTTTTTTGGGGCGAAAAATTAAGTATCCCCAATCTTCTCGAAACTCTGGATTCTGATAGAGGGCACTGAGACTTACACCTGAGTGCAAAAATGGAGGCTCTAGACCCTTCCAGAGCTGAGATATCGAAACTCAAAATTTCGACCCGAAAAAAAAAACGACAGTGTTACCCCTTACGTTTTTTTTTTTTGGGCGAAAAATTAAGTATCCCAATCTTCTCGAAACTCTGGATTCTGATAGAGGGCACTGAGACTTACACCTGAGTGCAAAAATGGAGGCTCTAGACCCTTCCAGAGCTGAGATATCGAAACTCAAAATTTCGACCCGAAAAAAAAACGACAGTGTTACCCCTTACGTTTTTTTTTTGGCGAAAAATTAAGTATCCCCAATCTTCTCGAAACTCTGGATTCTGATAGAGGGCACTGAGACTTACACCTGAGTGCAAAAATGGAGGCTCTAGACCCTTCCAGAGCTGAGATATCGAAACTCAAAATTTCGACCCGAAAAAAAAACGACAGTGTTACCCCTTACGTTTTTTTTTTGGGGCGAAAAATTAAGTATCCCCAATCTTCTCGAAACTCTGGATTCTGATAGAGGGCACTGAGACTTACACCTGAGTGCAAAAATGGAGGCTCTAGACCCTTCCAGAGCTGAGATATCGAAACTCAAAATTTCGACCCGAAAAAAAAACGACAGTGTTACCCCTTACGTTTTTTTTTTTGGGCGAAAAATTAAGTATCCCAATCTTCTCGAAACTCTGGATTCTGATAGAGGGCACTGAGACTTACACCTGAGTGCAAAAATGGAGGCTCTAGACCCTTCCAGAGCTGAGATATCGAAACTCAAAATTTCGACCCGAAAAAAAAACGACAGTGTTACCCCTTACGTTTTTTTTTTTGGGGCGAAAAATTAAGTATCTCCAATCTTCTCGAAACTCTGGATTCTGATAGAGGGCACTGAGACTTACACCTGAGTGCAAAAATGGAGGCTCTAGACCCTTCCAGAGCTGAGATATCGAAACTCAAAATTTCGACCCGAAAAAAAACGACAGTGTTACCCCTTACGTTTTTTTTTTTGGGGCGAAAAATTAAGTATCCCCAATCTTCTCGAAACTCTGGATTCTGATAGAGGGCACTGAGACTTACACCTGAGTGCAAAAATGGAGGCTCTAGACCCTTCCAGAGCTGAGATATCGAAACTCAAAATTTCGACCCGAAAAAAAAACGACAGTGTTACCCCTTACGTTTTTTTTTTTTGGGCGAAAAATTAAGTATCCCCAATCTTCTCGAAACTCTGGATTCTGATAGAGGGCACTGAGACTTACACCTGAGTGCAAAAATGGAGGCTCTAGACCCTTCCAGAGCTGAGATATCGAAAAACTCAAAATTTCGACCCGAAAAAAAAACGACAGTGTTACCCCTTACGTTTTTTTTTTTTGGGCGAAAAATTAAGTATCCCCAATCTTCTCAAAACTCTGGATTCTGATAGAGGGCACTGAGACTTACACCTGAGTGCAAAAATGGAGGCTCTAGACCCTTCCAGAGCTGAGATATCGAAACTCAAAATTTCGACCCGAAAAAAAAACGACAGTGTTACCCCTTACGTTTTTTTTTGGGGGGCGAAAAATTAAGTATCCCCAATCTTCTCGAAACTCTGGATTCTGATAGAGGGCACTGAGACTTACACCTGAGTGCAAAAATGGAGGCTCTAGACCCTTCCAGAGCTGAGATATCGAAACTCAAAATTTCGACCCGAAAAAAAAACGACAGTGTTACCCCTTACGTTTTTTTTTTTTGGGCGAAAAATTAAGTATCCCCAATCTTCTCGAACTCTGGATTCTGATAGAGGGCACTGAGACTTACACCTGAGTGCAAAAATGGAGGCTCTAGACCCTTCCAGAGCTGAGATATCGAAACTCAAAATTTCGACCCGAAAAAAAAAACGACAGTGTTACCCCTTACGTTTTTTTTTTGGGCGAAAAATTAAATCCCCAATCTTCTCAACTCTGGATTCTGATAGAGGGCACTGAGACCTACAGTGCAAAAATGGAGGCTCTAGACCCTTCCAGAGCTGAGATATCGAAACTCAAAATTTCGACCCGAAAAAAAAACGACAGTGTTACCCCTTACGTTTTTTTTTTTTGGGCGAAAAATTAAGTATTCCCAATCTTCTCGAAACTCTGGATTCTGATAGAGGGCACTGAGACTTACACCTGAGTGCAAAAATGGAGGCTCTAGACCCTTCCAGAGCTGAGATATCGAAACTCAAAATTTCGACCCGAAAAAAAAAACGACAGTGTTACCCCTTACTTTTTTTTTTTTTTGGGGCGAAAAATTAAGTATCCCAATCTTCTCAAAACTCTGGATTCTGATAGAGGCACTGAGACTTACACCTGAGTGCAAAAATGGAGGCTCTAGACCCTTCCAGAGCTGAGATATCGAAACTCAAAATTTCGACCCGAAAAAAAAACGACAGTGTTACCCCTTACGTTTTTTTTTTTGGGCGAAAAATTAAGTTTCCCCAATCTTCTCAAAACTCTGGATTCTGATAGAGGGCACTGAGACTTACACCTGAGTGCAAAAATGGAGGCTCTAGACCCTTCCAGAGCTGAGATATCGAAACTCAAAATTTCGACCCGAAAAAAAAACGACAGTGTTACCCCTTACGTTTTTTTTTTTTGGGCGAAAAATTAAGTATCCCCAATCTTCTCGAAACTCTGGATTCTGATAGAGGGCACTGAGACTTACACCTGAGTGCAAAAATGGAGGCTCTAGACCCTTCCAGAGCTGAGATATCGAAAAACTCAATTTCGACCCGAAAAAAAAACGACAGTGTTACCCCTTACGTTTTTTTTTTTGGCGAAAAATTAAGTATCCCCAATCTTCTCAAACTCTGGATTCTGATAGAGGGCATGAGACTTACACCTGAGTGCAAAAATGGAGGCTCTAGACCCTTCCAGAGCTGAGATATCGAAACTCAAAATTTCGACCCGAAAAAAAAACGACAGTGTTACCCCTTACGTTTTTTTTGGGCGAAAAATTAAGTTATCCCCAATCTTCTCAAAACTCTGGATTCTGATAGAGGCACTGAGACTTACT